GGTTTTGAGTAATGAACAAGGCTGGGAGTTTTTAAAAGCCTCAGGAATCTTTTGCAGGTGTTTAGAGTTACGTCGTTGATTCAGATGGTTAGGTTAATAGCTTGTTTAGAGAACCTTTTCATGATATGCTAATTTTTTGAGACAGGCATTTTGGGTTTTCATGAGCTGTATGCCATAATCATCAGTATTAAAACAATTAAAGACCTGAAATATTTCAGTTGGTGTGCAATGAATCTGAAATATATGAAAGTTTCATTTTTATCATTACATTATGGAAAATAATGACCTTTATCACAATATGCTAATTTTTTGAGAAGGACCTGTATTCAGAGATCCCTTTCTGAAAGTTTGATTAACCTCCCAAGGTCAGAGTTTTTGTTTGTTATGCATTTGTAATTTCCCCAGTTTGGGATTAGTATCTCATACACAGAAAAGTATTGCTTTTGAACAATTAGTAACCAGTAGTTAAAATATGTATTTTATAGTTTAAAGCATTAAAATTTATTACCTAGTCTTCCTGAAACAGTCCAAAAGGTCTAAAATGATTAACACATAATCATATAAAACAAGGATTTAGGTTTTAAACCATCCAGTGGTTCATGAGATATTTTGATAACCAACAGGGTTGACTCCAACAGTTAATGTTAAAGTTTTAAGGAAATATCTCATGCAATGAGTAGCACTATCACAGTAGTACCATCACACCAAATCTGAGCACACTATCTGCAAAACTGTCTGGATTATAGTCATGTTTGTGTTTTCTAAGGTTAGTTGGCTGTGGTGGCCATCTTGAATTGGATTGGTTCAAAAAAATGTCAGTGATGGATTTATATTCAATGATTATTTCCTTTAAGTTTTTATTAAATCTGAGCAGGGGTTCTTTAGATATTTTGTTAACAGAAAGACAGTGTTGTCTCTTAAATGGCAAGATAAAAATATTAAATTTTTAATCTATTTTGAGAGTATGCTTTATGGTTGAGTCTCAGCTAAAACGCAGCCAAATTTTAGGTTAATATCTATAAAAAATAATTGAGTTGTAGCCATTCTTGTGTTTTTAAAGTCAGTTGGCCGTGGCAACCATTTTGGATTGGATTGACTCCAAAAATTAATCAACCGTATATACAAATCCAATCACTCCATTTTTTTATTTTTTTTTTGAGAAGTTCATTCAAATCCATCAAGCGACTCATAACATATTTTGCTAACAGATAAACACAAAGAAACTTTTATTGCCTGCCTTCACCTTTTGGCATCATGACTGTTCTGGTGAGATTACAAACATCCATCCATCCATTTTCTTTACCCGTTTATTCCATTTTGGGTCACGGGGGTCGCTGGTGCCCATGTCCAGCAATCACTGTGCGAGGGGCGGGGTACACCCTGGACGGGTCGCAAGTCCATCACAGGGCCACATAGAGACAAACGAGACAAACAAACATTCACTCTCTCACTCACACCTAGGGACAATTTAGAGTTACCAATCAGCCTAACATGCATGTTTTTGGTCTGTGGGAGGAAACCGGAGTACCCGGAGAAAACCCACGCATGCACGGAGAGAACATGCAAACTCCACCCAGAAAGGCCCCTGGACCGGGGTTTGAACCAGGGACCTGCTCGCTGAGAGGCAGCAGCTCTACCAGTTACGCCACCGTGCTGCCCAGATTACAAACAAAGATATGATAAACAACTTGTACCTTTAAAAAAAAAATCAATGTCTTAAGCCTCTTCTTCCCCCCCCAGAAACCTTCCGGATGATCCCACAGCAGAATGGAGCGTCTCATTAATCTCCTCCGCAGTAGTCCAGTACATCTCAGCTCACTCCATCAACATGGTATGTTCCAACACCAGTTCTGCCACTTCCTGTTTGTTATTAACACAGTTTCCCATCTGCTCTGTGGGAGAAACCAGTTCATTGTTTTGTGTCGGCCATTCCAGTTCATCGTCCCGTTTTCACTGTGGTCTGTGTAATAATCCCTTTCATCTGATATCTCTTGAAGTCCACCCCTGGCTGCATTTTTAGCCTCCTGGCCACCAGAGGAAATGGTCTCTGCTGCAGCAGAACAATTTAATCCAGTTTTGCTGTTTACACTCAGATTCTTATCATCTGCTGTGCAGTTCTGAATGATTAGCTAATGGAAATGGGATAAATTTAGACCCAAACTATTTTTTTTATCTGGTCTAGTTCAGCAACGGCTAAAAGAGCAATAAAGCACAGAGGCAAGGGTCAAATATAGTCTTTATGGTAAGTGTTTGATACTCTTGTTATTGTTAAAGACGACAAACAAACAAATCTTCTCCACCCATCCTGTCAGCTGCTAAAAATATTTCTAATCCAAAAGAAGGCCTGAAATGTGTTCCTCAGAAATAACCATCTGTTAGGCAGGAAATGACACAGAAACACAAGATAAGTTCAGGTTTTGTGTCTGAAAGTAATAATATTGCTTCGTTAGCCTGCCTTGTGCTATCGCCCACCACCAAAAGTGCTTGTGTCTTCATCAACATCAACAAGTTGGCCACAACAGCCAAACAAAAACAACTTTAACAGTGTGCAGATAATAACTTTGACTGGTTTTACTCCAAGTGCTAATAAATTACTGTATTTTTCAGTCTATAGGTAAATGGTAAATGGACTGTACTTATATAGCGCCTTTCTATCTTATCAAGATACTCAAAGCTCTTTACACTACAATTTGTGCCCTCATTTACCCATTCATACAGCACTCTACTAGAACTCTACAAGGCTGATTGAACAAATCATTCTAAAGAGACTAATCAGTGATAAGTCACAGTTTTTTTTACATAATTTGCAAGCCCTGCAATTTATAGGTCGAAGTGACATATTTGTTTTTTTTTTCCCATATTTATAAACCAATTTTTGGCTGAGATATGACCGTATTCTGACTGAAAAAAATTGAACACTACCATTTTCAGCCACTAGATGGCACTCTAGTAGTGAGGCGTGCCGTTGTATCATGTAATAGGTAAAAGTGAGTATTAATAACACAATCGGCTTGTCATAGCCTGCCACCGTCATCTGCCTGGAGCAACCGAATCAGCTTCATTTTGCTGCACTGCTCGCCCGCCCCGACGAAATGCAACTGATTTGACTGTCAAAATGCATTTATTAAGTAAAAGTTCAACTGAGACACACCTTTACTATAAAATCGAGCAAACAAATAATTGTTTTTAGGCAGGTGGTTATCTTGTTAAATTTTGAAGAAATGGACCGAATTGCCCTCTGCGCGTTTATGTTTCCGTGTATCTGCTTTTGAAAATGCAGCTGATTTGACCGTCAAAGTGCATTTATTAAGCAAAAGTTAGACTGAGACACACCTTTACTATAATTTCGAGCAAACAAATAATTGTTTTTAAGTCTTAATCTTGTTAAATTTCGAAGAAATGTAGCATTCCTACTTCCGCATATCGGCTTTTGAAATACAGCTAATTTGACCATCAAAGTGCATTTATTAAGGAAAAGTTAGACTGAGACATAACTTTACTATAATTTCGAGCAAACAAATAATTGTTTTTAGGTGTTAATCTGGTTAAATTCTTGTTAAAGTCCTCCCATGTATGCTCCCGCGGCTGCCATTTGGCAGCCAATCGATTTTTGGTACACCTGCCCACATTTATGGGTTCACCCCACATTTCCGGCTTGTCAACGGTGACGCATAATAGATGTGACGTATACGGCGAAGCAACGTATTTATGGATTTTTTCACTTTATTAGACATATTTGGACTGATGCGACTTATAGGGCATTGTGACGTGTACGGTGGAAAATACGGTATACAAGGCATTGCCATATGACATGAGATTGTGCATAACATTATTTTAAAGGTTTGACCAAAACATCTATAAGGGCATCATTTCTCAACATAAGATGAACTCATTATAAAAGGTGGCAGGCAATATGCATTCCTTTAATCCAGTCCTTCTCATATAGTGGGGCGCGCCCCCCCTGGGGGGGCCCGGAGCAATGCCAGGTGGGGCGTATGTGACCCCGAGGAACATTTTGCGGCAGGGAGTTTTTTTTTTTTTTTCTCCCTCTTTTTTTTTTTTGCACCATTCTCATTTTGTCAGGGTGCGTTCGACAACTGTTTGCTAAAATCCGGCAACTCTCAGTTTTAATAATAATAAAGTTATGAACAAATATGTCTGTCTTGTCGTTTGAGGAGCCATGATTGAACCGTGTCGCTTCCCTCTGCTGCTGAGCAGCTGGTGACGCTCGTCACCCGCAGCACACGTTAGTTACCTGCCCCAATTTCACTTTAACGTTTTTTTTTTTGTTTGTTTTGTTTTGTTTTGGCAAAGCACAATTTTGATGTTTTTTAATACAGAAGTAATGTTTAATAAATGTTAGGACTCGATTCTTTGCTAACAAAATATATTTTATGTCATTAAACAATTGTCAGGTTCTTCTCTTGTGAGCGCGTTCCACTGGACCCACCAACACAACCACACGCACACACACACACACGCACACACACAGGTTTGTTTTGCTATCTTTATGGGGCCTTTGCATTGACTTCCATTCATTTTTCATTCATTTCTATAGCCTAACCATGACCTTTATCCTTAACCTAACCATTACCAGTACATACCTAACCCTAAACCTAACACATCCTCAATTCACGCCTTAGTCCTAAACCTAGCCCCTAACCCACCAACGAGACTTCTTCTTATGGGGCCCGGGCTTTGGGCCCCATAAGGAGCAGTTGGTCCTCACAATGCAGTATAAGTTGGAAAAATGGGCCTCACAAAGTAGCATAAACAAGGACAAACACACACCGCTCGCTCTTGCGCTGGTTGCAACTTCTCTGCTGCTCTGAGGTCCAGGTCCAGCCAAGGCCGGATTAACCATATGGGCAACTGCCCAGGGACCCATGATCTCTAAAGCCTGGTATCCACAGGTCTGGTTCTTGTTGTAGCCTGTTGTGTCCGGTTCTAGTGGGACCTCTATTTTTGTGTCTCCACTTTGCCTATAGTTCCCGTTTAGTGGGCGGATTGTTCACCTCTAGTGGGCGGATTATTAATATCAGCTGGTGGCGGTAGTGCTACATTAAGCTCTTTTCTAAGCACCACTAACATGTATTAGAAGAAGAGCTGGAAAACAACACACAACCAAAATGGATGACCTCCGTGAACTTGGAGCAGAACCAGCCGCACAGCCCGTCCTGGTCGCTGTCCCGCAAGATGGAGAGCAGGGCCGAGGTGTCAGAGATGCTCTGATGGAGTACCTCATGAGCTGTAACTTATCCTAATTCCACCCCTTAATCTTTTTTTTTACCTCCCCAGCCTTCCTTAGATACAAGTGAACGTTAAAGTGTTGATTTGAAAATAAACATGGATTAATAATTATTCTTGTTTTTTTAATGTACAGACATGCCTTATTACCAGGTTCGTGTAAAAATGGCTAAACAAACACTGCCGCTGTGCTTCTATCACATATGCTGCGTTTTTTAGCGGCTGTAGTTTTAGAAAAACTGTATACTCCTTAATTTTTGTTTTTAACAAAGAACCAAAACCTGCAACAAGAACTTTATATTTGTTTATGCATATATACATTAATCTATTTTAATATTTATATATATATATATGTCTTCAGCCAGAGACGACTTCAGATCCCTTGTAAGACTGTCGCAAATTATCTTCATGATTGAAGTGCTGTTAAGCAATATTAAGTTAGTGCTCCTTTGTACCACAGTGAAAGTCGTGGAGAGAATTTTTGACCTTGGGTGAAAAAGATGCAGAAGCTGCTGGATCCACAAGATGGACATCATGGCCGAGGTGTTTGACATGCAATGACTGAAAACCTCCTGAATGAGGAGGATTGTAAACGTAGATTACACAAGTCCTACACCTTTTTAACTCCACTGCAATGTTCATTTACAACACATAGACATTCTGTATTATGGTTACGTTTTTCAGTACTCATTACAGATAAAACCAAAAAAAATACATAAATAAAAATACTGGACTTTATTTGTAACTGAAGATGTATCACTTCTCATCCGAGGCTCTTTCTCAATTGAATGAAACGAGGAGTGTGATTCAAGTTATAAAGCTGTGGTGTGCCGTAAGCTTGTATTATGGAGACTGGCGCATGCAGATCAATCTCCAGCAAGCTTACAGAACACCACAGCTTTATAACTTTAATCCCATATTCCTTTTTTCATTGAATTGTGAGTGCTCCTCGGATGATTAGCGAAACGTCTTCAGTTTTAAAAAAAGTCCTGTGGTTTTGTTTTTATCTGTTTTGGGGGGGATTTGCCGTGTCAAGGATAACTGAGAATCTTCACCAGCATTGTTACAGGTAAAAAAACAATTACTTCACTTATCCTACACTATTGACGTAAAAAAACACTGTAAGCACTTCACTTTTGATGATCAGATGGAAGCTCAAGACTTGAAAATGTTTCTTTTACTAGAAATAAAGACCTGTACAAAAAAACCAATTATACACTAATTATATATGCAAACTTAACAAGCTACGTTTGGCTATTTGTGGGCTTACCTTGCAGGAACTACATTTCTATAGATCAACTATGATCTACTCTAAATATTTTTAAACATGTCTGTTTGCCATGGAACGGACAATGGATTCCAGCACCCCAAGGAGTGCCTGACTGAAAGCAGCACTCTGTTCAGCCTCCTGCCTTCGCTGTGCTGCTTCCTCTCTGCGAAGATCTGCTTCCTCTCTCCTCAAGGCCATCTCCTCCCTCCTAATTGCCTTCTCCTGCTTCCTCGCTGCTGCAGCTTCTTCTTGCCTTGCCTTGTTGGCATCCTCACAAATAAAATGGAAGTGTTTCTCTCTCTGCTTCCGGTTCATCTCCTCTTGTTCTGTATGCACAGAAACAAAGCTCTCTGCTGCACTTGTTGATCTGCGCTTTCTATTGCCTAGGAATAACACACAAGAAAATGGCTGTTAGATGATCAAGTACAGGTAGAGTTTTTAAATAAATTATTTACATTAAAGTTCCTGCTAATTTCAAAAGGTGTTTGTTCACAAGATCAGAAATGATTCTGTTCATAAAGCAGTCTAGTACTTTAATGATAGTAAGCAGGTGGGCATAAATAAACTACATGTAGTCATTTACAACGGTTTGTGCTAATTTAGAAAAAGAACAGAGCATCGTTAATCTGAACAAAAATCACTACACCCTGTATAATTTCAATAATAAACTTCATAAATGAAAGTTTAAGTAATAAATGAATAACTAAATTTAACAACAAAAAAATTTAACATTTATCCATTACAACTGAATAAACAAGTAGTTTGAATACATGCAAGGTGTTTTACAACAAAAACAAAACAACATTCATATCGACATGATCAATGTGATGTTAAACACGATTGTTGCTTCTTCTTACCTAGTAACGGGTGCTGTTTGGTGCCGCTCTGCTGCGTGTTGCCCGGTGGTGTGGATGTACTCGGAGCTGGTGTGGTCCGGAAGGGTCAGAAGCGGGGAGGATTGGACAGTCAAAAGCAGAATCTGGCGAACCTTCATGTTCAGTGGGACTTTCTGCATCAAAATAAGAGTGGAAAAACAGCAACAGAGTACAGTTAGCAATGATGCTAACTAATAACGACGTAACCGAGTCAGCCTCGTTTGTTCAGAGTACTTTCAGAAAACGCAAAGAAACGGTTGCATGAGGAAAAGGAAATATGCTTAAAGTAAATAAAATACACTCACCATCAGCTATTAGTTTTTTAAGCTTTCCTCTTTGCTTTGGTGTGCGATGGAAGCCCTGCACCGCCATCTGCGCAGACACCTCTTGAAAAATCTTTTCATTTCGTTTCGTTCCATCTAGCTCGCGCTGCACTTGTTCATCGGCCAGCAAACAGAGAAATGCCTGAACTTCAGCATTCGACCACGGTTGTGCCATGATTATTTGTTTTACCTTATAAAATATTCCAAAATAAGCTCCTCCGATTTCTTGTTGTCTGTTATGCGGGTGAAAAAGAAAATGGTGGATTGTGATTTCCGGTGGAAGACTGAATCTCCGCCCTCCACCAATGAATACGCCCCCTGACCAATCAGTGACCTACAGTGCGCTGATGTCACATCTAGACCCTACAAGAACCAGACCTGGGACCTCAGAGATTTAGGTCCCAAAAATGGGGTGGGTTCCGCCACTAGAGGCATTGTTGATAAAACATGCAATCGGCCACAACTAGTTACATAGGAGTACCAAAAAGCCCCGTGGATAAGGGGCTTAAGGGTCCCAGGGCTGTGAGGGCACAAGCAGAATATCTGGTTATCTCCTGCTTTACTTGGAGCGCTGCGCTGCACAGAAACTGCTGCGCCTCCGCTGCATTTGTGTAGCCCCGCCTCCTCCCAGCAGCTGCTGTAGCTCTCGTTTTTTTTTTTTTTGTTTGTTTGTTTTTTCAATCGGATCCTCGACGGTGCGACCTGTCAATCAATTCAGAAGGCGTGTCAGTAACTGACCAATCGACGACCTCAATTTGTCCCGAAGGTAAACGCCCCTTACCTGCTGACAAGCTCGTCTGTTTTTTTTTCTTGAGAAACGTTGTTTTAAATTAAAACAATAAGTTTGTATCTGTTGTGAGATGATTTTAGCAGTTTTGCAGACTTTTGATCTACTTAATGAAGAATATTATGACTTCAAATTGTTCATTAAAAAGGAAGGATGGATTATTATCTCTCCTCTTACTACAGTGAACGTGGTACTTTGCTATAAGTACAACTATATTAATGGCATCAGAGAAAGCTGAGCTTAAGTTATCTACATAAAGTAAAATGGAATCAGCATCAAAAGAAAGAATGTTAAGTTTGAGATTAATCCAGTTTCTGATGTTTGACCAAACACTTTGTATTGACATGAAAAAAACATATTCGAGGGATTCATCTTCTGATTTACAAAAGGCACAAAAATCAACATCAAATTTAAATATTCTTTGCAGAAACATGGCTACAGGATATATCTTATTTATTATTTTAAAATCATTCTCCTTCACTTTAGGAGATTTAGGTCATTTGACAAATTTAGAATGAGCAGATGTCATTATGGTTTTAGGATTTAAATTAGGAGGTTTCTTGAAGGAATATTTGTTATAATCAGTAAATCCTTTGTTGCAAACATTCACTGATAATCTTATTACATTTGAAGTCAACTAAGTTAAAGACATTTAATTTTGATTTGGGCATCAAATCGTCACCTTTGAATATATTTTTAATTCATTGAATCAGCTGTTGGTCAGGTTACTTCTTGTTGTGCCATTAGCTCTAAAATAGTTACTGAATCAAGTGTTTACTTCTATCCATCCGTGGGGGTAGCAGCCTAAGTAGAGAGGCCCAGACTTCCCTCTCCCCAGCCACTTGGACCAGCTCCTCCGGGGAAATCCCAAGGTGTTCCAAGTGTTTACTTATGTAGGTAAAACTAGATGTTAAACAAACATTAAAATACACCAGGATGCAGGAAATGGCATCTACTTTATTCAAAAAAATTTCTGGGGGAGGACCCCCGCCCCCCGCCCTATCTAAATAAAATATATTTCTATCTTTTTTAAATTTTATGTTGATATGGATGCAATGCTATGTAGAGGTGTACTTATAACAATTTTATAGACAAATTATACTATTTACAGTTGCGGCAGAGAGTTGGGGGGGGGGCTCGAAATGTTTACTTCTTCCTGGGGGCGCGTAACAGAAGTTAATTGAGAAGCACTGCTTTAATCTCAGCATAAATTCATTTTTCACAAGTTTCTTATAAATTATTAAGATCAGGGCATTACATTTAGTAAAAACAGAGTCATGGCAGAATCTACTGGAGCACCAGCGTGTGTTTTGTTCTCCCTTTGACCGGATTTTTGTTCCCGACTTGTTTCCTCCTCTGGTCTTAAAGTATTCACAGAGAAAAATTCTTTTAAATATTGTTGACTGAAAGATCTTCTCCAAATACTAACCCTACATTCTTCTTCTTCATAATTCTTTTATTTATTTATTTTGAGGCAGTGCAGTTCTTGGTTCTCGGCCATGATGTGAGAGTGTTTGTTGTTTCAGGTGCTGACGTTCGATGGAAGAGGAGTGAGTGGCCACGCCAATCACGTAGCCATCAATAAAGCTGTCAGGTGAAGAAAAGCTTTTCCATCAGTGTGACGTTTTGTTTTTTGATCTAACAACCTGGAGACGCCATCCTCAGAGAGACTCTGTGGCTGAATCATTGAAACCAGCCTGCTCCATAGCAGCAAAATACTTTCCAGGAAAATGCAGAAAAACTGGACTCAGGACAACAGCCATCTTCCAAATGCCTTTTTACTCACTCTCTCTCACACACACACACAGCATGTTTTTCAGAACTGCTCCGTTACATAGCTGAGAGGTCATCCAAACAGAGTCCTCTGAGGCTCTGGGCTCTGATCCCAGCGAGCAGCCGTAAATCCTGTCCCTGAAGTGCTGGGGGGTTGGGGGGGGGGGGGGCAGCTCCGTTTTGGAGAGGTCGCCCCGACGGCTTAAAGAGAGCTAGTTTAAAGAAATATTTGAGACGTGAACATAGTCCTAATGTACACTTGAATATCACTTAGGCTGCTAGCTGCTTTCTTTTATTCCTCAATGGTGAACAATGTTGTCCTTGTCTGTTAGAAAAATATCTTGTGAATTGTAATGTGACAAACAACTTTGTCATTGCTCAACTTAACCTGAATTTAAAACTCTGGCATGAGAGGCGGCGAGCATTGTGTGTTCAAGGAATCCCAGGCCTTTAATTTCTTCCTGGTTTGGCTTCCTGTTAGTCTGCGAGTCTCATTTGTTTACGTGAGTCTTCAAATCACATCTCATGATTCCCGCAAGGCTGGAGGGGGGGGGGGGGTGCTCGATTCTCTGCATCTCGGGGTTTGGATCTTTATTTTCATCAACATATTGGTACATATCGACATAGTGTTTGGAAAACTTGAACTTCCACTCACAGTAATTAATAAATCATAAAGAGATATTTGCACCAGCAGATTATAGTTAGAGATGTAAGAACAAAGTTGCTGTACTATATGTACTAAACAGTAAAAGTTAAGCAACACATTAACTATTCTACACTGTTTTTTCCATCACAGACATCTGGCTTCCACAGGAGGAGTGCCCAAAGGTAAGTTTGACAAAAACAACCCTTTTTTGTCTGATGAGTGAGTTATTTTAAATCCAAACCTTCCACAGCTATGAAGATTGCCTCATATTGGTTATTTTGTGAATCTTTAGCGCCCTCATCTGATCAAAAACATTTGATCTTCTACCTGAAGCATGAAGAAATTTGAATCATCAGCTTTAGTTAATACAACCCCGAGTCTGAATTGTGTCGATAAAAACAGAAGGCTATGATGTGGAAACCTCATGAACCCATATTTTATTTACTATAGAACATTGTAAACATATCAAATGTTTAAACTAAGAAATTGTAATTGTTTTAGTGAAAAAATCTGGTTATGTTGGATGTTATGACTAAAACACATCTCAAAATGTGTGGACATCCATCCATCCATTATCTTTTACCTGCTTCTTCCATTTTGAGTCAGAGGACTGAGTATAAAAAGAATGTTTTAGAGAGGCAGAGCCTCAGAAGTAAAGGTTGGCAGAGGTTCACCAGTCTGTGAAAAACTTTTTTTTAATAGTGGATCAGTAAAATGTTTCCAACAGAAAATTGGGCAGACTTTAAATATCCCATTAAATACATTTCATAATGTTGTCAAAAGAAATGAAGAATCTGTGAGCTCAGAGGGCGAGACTGAAAGGCTCAGGAACACTTCCACAAATACCAGTTAGTTCTACCAAGCTGAATGTAAACACCATCCAGAAATGCCACCATCTTCTGAGGCAAAGCTGATTTAAAATGGACTGAGGTGAAATGTCAAACTTTTCTGTGGTCGAATGAATCTTTTTTATTATTATTTGTAAACCATGAACACCATGTCCTCTGCACTAAAAAGAAGGACCATCTGTCTTATCAGCACACACTTAAAAAGTCGGCCTCTCTGATGGTATGAGGGTGTATTGGTACCTAATTTCTTAGTTAAAACATTTATGTTTACTATGTTTAATGGTTTGAAAATCACACTGTGTGCATTTATTTATTTATTATTTACTTGTTTGCATTCCATACATCATTCCAACTTCATCAGAGTTGGGGTTGTGAGCCTTTGTAAATGTCAGTTTAGGTGTTTGTTAGTTTTAATGTCTTTTTTTCCTGGCAGTTATAAAACCAGTGTGAGTCCAGACCTAACCAACTTGTATGACTTCCATTTTTACTTCCATCTCCTGTAAAACGAAAAAGACTTCTTCTTACATAATAAAAATAATTCCTGTGCACTTTGTGTGGGAATTAGCTTAGTTAGCTGCCTACTGTCGCCATGTTCACTTGTCAAAATGACCTCCCGACGTGGTGTGTGTGTTTCTACCCTCAGACTGTGTGCTGCTCTCTCTGGTGACGGTCGGCCTTTTCAGGAAGTTCATCTCCTTCCTGGAGATTCCCCTCAGCTGTCTTCTGCCCTCACGTCTCTGCTGTGTTGTCGGCTCACGGGGCTACAAACAGGCCAGAGTAAGGCTCAGTGTGTTCAGCTTTACTGACAAGACACATCGTCTACTTTTACACAGTTACATTACACTTTATACACTAAACTTTTCAAGGGTGAAGAGCAGGGAATTTAAATAAAGTCCAACAGAGATAATGTGAGTTAGGTTCTGACTTTGTGTCACTGCAAGTTTATTTATAAGGCACATTTAAAACATCATTTCAATAAAAACGAATCATATTATTAAATGTCTTTTAAAGAAACTAGAAAGGGAAACTAAAAGAGACAGTTTCACTTTAAAACAAAAACAAACTCAATAGAATTTCATGTGAAGCTGTGATTATATGAAAACTAATGGGTTTTCGGTTCAGGCCCACAGAACTGAACGTCCTCAGCTTCTGGGTTTGATTTGTGGAACATTCATGATCTTCTAGACCTGAGTAGTCTTCCTGAAGTATGATGTGAAAAAGTTATTTTAAATAAACTGGGGTTAGCTCATGTAGAGCTTTGAAAACTACCAGTAAAATCTTGAAATCAATCATGTAACAAACAGGAAGCCAAAGAAGGAACGGCTTATTTTAGTGTACAAATAAAGAATTGCTGTAGTCCAGACAAAAGATGATCAAAACATGAACACTTTGCTGATGTTTTACATAAAACATTGTCTACAGGAAGTGAAAACACCCAGAAGGAATCAAGTTTTTCCAAATAACTGTCTGACATCTTCACGTCATGTTCTGAGTTATGTCTCTTTCTTTGCTAGGCCGCCATGATGCGTCATCGCTCACAGCTTTTATGGTTTCGGTACCTCTACATCGCCTTCTCCCGGTACATGTTCATCAACACGTTCCAAGAGATTCCACAAGAGCTGAAGAATCTGAAGTTCTACTAAAAGTTTGCTGAACTTTCAGCCTGCTTTTTATATTTCTGTGAATATTTTCAAAGGCACTTTTATCAAAGCTGACACTGATTTTATTTTTGGTACACTGAGTAAAAGTCTTTTTGTGACTTGTTTTAAGTCAGAGCTCTGTATAAAAACTATTTTTGATTGTTACTGTGTACATTTTTCTAAGGAAATGCTAATTAAAGAAAAGTTTGAGTAGTCGATCACAGTTGGTGTTATTTCTGCTGCATGTCCTCTCCAGGTTTAGACATGTCTCTGATGCTGTTGTGAGCCTTCATGCTTTCCTCCCACCGCTCCCCGTCGAATGTCTCCACCGTCACACTGCGCACAGAACCTGGATCCAGACAGTGAGGAGCAACACCTTCAGGGGGAAAAAATCAACCAGAGGAACAAAACATATTATTAATTTGCTTATTGACAGCAAAAAAAACATTTTCACATATTTTAGTGGCAGCTTGGTTTTGTGAGCACTAATGACAGAGGACAGGCCCAGCTTTGTGTTCTAACTCATCACAGAAGAGAAATAAAAACTAAACCGGTTCAGTTAATTTGCAGTAAGCACGTTAGAATTTGTTGGAACTAACTCAGCTGTGTTGCAAAACAAGTTTGCAGCATATGAGACCGGTGTAAATGTGTTCTAGCAGTGCTTGGGAGGTGGAAATGGGTGGGTGGGGTTGTACCGTATCCATCGGGGTTGGATCGTGGCATGTAGAAACTCTGAACTCCACAGGTTTTACAGAAGGTGTGTTTAGCCACATGAGTATTAAAGCTGTATGTAGTCAGGTTGTCCAAGCCCTGAGGAGACAAAGACAACCACTTTTTACTGTTAAATTTAAAAAGGGTAGCATTCCTTGAAGGAATGCATATCCCCTGCAGCCTTTCATTCCTGAGTTTTAGCCTAAAATCAGTTGAAGCCATTTTAAGTAATGTGATATTGTGAGATGTCACATTTAGACTAATTGTTGGGGTTCAGCTACTACCACACCAAATTTTAGCTCTACATCTATAATATTAATTGAGTTATAGCCATTTTTTGTGTTGGCTAATGTTGATTAGATGTAGTGGCCATCTTGAATTGGGTTGACTCCAAAGGTTAATTGTTATAAATGTTTATCTAAAGAGTGTTTTCTCAAAGTCCATCCATTGGTTCATGACTGGCTAACAGACAGATGGTGTTGATTCCCAAAAGTTCCATCCATTCATCATCTTTACCCGCTTCTTCCTTATCGAGTTGCGGGGGTCACTGCCATATCCAGCGGTCACTGCGAGAGGCGGGACACCCTGGACAGGTTTCCAGTCCATCACAGGGCATTCCCAATAGTTATTGGCAATAATGTATTTTAAACAAATATTGGTACTAACAAAATTGAATCAGGTCCTCTGGAAGGATTAAAAAATTAAAAACTTGTTGAAACTTGCTGAATCTGAAATTACAGAGTTTGAAGGAGAACAACCTAGGAACAAAGTTTCATCCTGCCTCAGCAATGCCAAACCACCACCTTCCAACATCAGTAGAGAGGAGAGGGATGCACTCACCACTCTTAGCAAGGACAAAAACATCATCATTCTCCCAGCAGACAAAGGAAGGTGCACAGTGATTTTGAACCAGAAAGACTATCATGAGAAAGTTATGACACTCCTTAGTGATTTAACCACTTATGAGCCACTGAAAAGAGATCCAGGAAGTGGCTACAAGAAGAAGTTGATACATTGCCTGAAAATGTTTGGAGCAGGACAAGGCTATTGACCGTATTCTGTACCACAGACTGTACCCAGGGGAGGCCACACCTAGTCTGTATGGTTTACCTAAAATCCACAAACAAGGTGTACCTTTAAGACCAATCATTAGCATGATTAACTCTGTCACTTACAATGTTTCCAAATATCTGGCGTCTGTACTCGTCCCTTTAGTTGGCAGCTCAGAACACCACATACAGAACACCATGGACTTTGTGGATAAGGTGAGGGATGTCATCATGGAGACTGATGAAACAATGGTCTCTTTTGATGTCACATCACTCTTTACGTGCATTCCTGTTGATGATGCAGTAGAGGTGGTCAGTTTAAGATTAAAATCAGACACCACTCTGAGCAGCAGGACCACGCTTTCCACAGAACAACTGTGTCAACTCTTGAAACTGTGCCTGCAGTCAACCTACTTCACATATGGGGAGCAATATTATAGGCAGAAACATGGGTGTGCTATGGGGTCTCCAGTTTCTCCTATTGTTGCCAACCTGTACATGGAGGAGGTAGAAAAGAGAGCCTTGACGTCCTTTTCAGGGACACCACCAAGTCATGGGTTAAGGTATGTTGACAACACCTGGGTTAAAATTAAATCACAGGAAGTCCAACATTTTACTGACCACATCAACTCTGTGGATAAATACATCAAGTTCACACGAGAAGATGTAAAAAAATGGCAAGTTCTTACTTCCTCCAGTTATTTAACAGTCAACAATGGTGTACCACAAGGCTCAGTCTTAGGACCCACCCTCTTTACAATCTACATACATAATGTAGGTAAAAACATCCCTAATGCATCCATACATTTCTATGCTGATGACACAGTTGTTTATTGTCGAGCTAAAACTGTTGCTAAGGCTTTCCAGCTTTTGAAATCTGCATTCAACTACATGCAGACAGATTTGTTCCGCCTCAAACTTGTCCTAAATGCCGACAAAACCAAATGGATGCTTTTTTCAAATAGGAAGTTGGTCCCAGCAGTTCTTCCTCTGATTTTATCCTCAAATGGTGTCCCGATTGAGTTTGTTGATTCCTATAAATATTTGGGTATCTTGGTCGACTCGCATCTCTCTTTTACGCTTCACGTGGAAAACTTGGTAAAGAAACTGAAAGTTAAACTGGGTTTCTTTTTCAGAAGCAGATCCTGTCTATCTGAATGCTAGGAAACACCTTGTATCCGTGACTTTCCTTCCCTCCATTGATTACGGTGACATTATTTACATGAACGCTCCTACAAGAACCCTGCAGATGTTGGATGCTGTCTATCATGGTGCACTAAGATTCATAACTGGCTGTGATTATCGTACCCACCACTGCACCCTGTATTCACTGGTTAACTGGACATCATTAACTTCACGCAGACTCTCCCACTGGTACATTTTCATCTTTAAATCACTTCTTGGTCTGCTGCCTTCATACATCTCCTCCTATATGTCTCTGCGTGAGTGCAGCTACAGCGTGCGCTCTCAGGACATTATTACCTGCAGTGTTCCCTCAATGAGGACCAAACTAGGCAAGAGCGCCTTTTCCTACTCTGCTCCTGTTTCCTGGAATACCTTACAAAAACATTTGAAGCTCTCGACCTTGACCTCTCTAAGTAGCTTTAAGAATCTGTTGGACTCCTGGCAGGAATCAATGCAGACATGTTCCTGTTTTTAGTTTTCTACATTCGCCTTAGAATCTAGCTGTTTTTTTGTTACCTTTTTCTTTTAGCCATCCTATTTGTTAAAAAAAAAAATGTAGTTAGTATGACTTTTTATAACTGTTTATTGATGTTGCTGTTGTCCATTGTTGTCATCATTCTTTGTTGAATCAGGTCTCTCTTGTAAATGAGTCCTCGAGGCTCAATGGGATTTACCTGTCTAAATAAAGGTTGAATGAAAAAAAAAGTGGGCTTTCTTGGACTGTGAGGTCTCAGTCTCTGATAGTGGACATTTGCAAACTGAGGTGTACCACAAACCCACCCACACAGACCAGTATTTGCAGTTTGACTCCCATCACCCTTTGGAGCACAAGTTAGGAGTCATCAGGACTCTGTACCACCGAGCAGACAGCGTTCCCACTAACTCAGGAGCCAGGCAGAAGGAGAAATCCCACACAAGACAGGCTCTAGAGCAATGTGGATATCCTAACTGGGCCTTCCTGAAAGCAGAGAAGAAACCCAAACAGAACTCCAGTCAGTCATCAGGTGAAAAGGAGGAACTCAGACCAGTGGTCATACTATATGTTGCGGAAGTAGAAGAGAAACTGAGACGTTTATTTTCTAAACACAATGTCCCAGTGGCTTTTAAACCCCAAAATACTTTGTACATTACGACAAAGGCTGGTTCATCCCAAAGATCCAGTCCTCCAGCACAAACAGTAATATTGTGTATGCTGTTCAGTGTCAGGAGGGCTGTGATCAGTCTTACATCGGGGAAACTAAACAACCACTGGCCAAAAGGATGGCCCAGCACAGAAGATCAACGTCATCAGGCCAGGACTCTGTGGTCTACACTCCTCACCATGCCAGCAGTCACTCATTCAGGGATGAAGATGTTCACATCCTTGATAGAGAGGAACAATGGTTTGAGAGAGGAGTAAAGGATCTTTGTGAAAAGAAATCGTCCATCATTAAACAGGGGTGGAGACCTCCGGGTTCAACTGTCCCCCTCTTACAATGCTGTGATTGCTAGTATCACTCAGCCTCCTGTGAATAGCAAGCAGTCATCAGTGTGCTAATGATCCATTGTTAGGCTGATGGTCCTCCTTGACCATGTGAGCCGCTGGTTTTGGATGTCAACAACAAACTGGTTGATCCACTCTGAGAAGGTGCTATTTATAAGACTGAGTTTATTGCAGCTCCTCGGACTGAAGAAGTCTTTTTTCTTTAACATTTCATTAAATAATAATGAATTTAAGGGTGAGTTTCTTACCTGTAAGAGTGTAAAGCGACTTTTTGGAACAATAAAATGATGGTTTTGTTTCTTGGTGCAAATGCTACAGCTAGGAAAACAAAACGAAGGTTTTTATTAATCATTGGCTTTTGAAATTAAACTTTTTTAAACAAAATGTTAAGATCCTGACATTTATGTCGTACATACTTGCAATGAAAAACATGAAGGTCGGGTGAGCTCCAGACTTCAAATCTCACAGCCCCACAGTGGCAGCCACCTGAATGTTTCACAAGCTCCATTCTGTAAACAAAATCAAACAGCAGCATAAATTACATACATCATTACATTACTGGATGTAGGTTTTCTGAAGGCCTTGGTACCTTTCGAGAAAGCTGAGTTGAAACTTGGGTGGCGTGTTTGTTGTAAAACCAGTTCTGTTGATGTGGAACTGGTCTCACCTGGAAAATTCCAGTAATCACGTCAAAGAAAAACTCAGTGAACCCAATCAAAGTCCATCACTGATAAGTGACACATTAACAATGACGTTTCAACTGGTTATATTTGCTGCTGAATTGATATTTTCAGCTGTGAACACTTTATATGATAATCAGCTCTGTTAGAGCTCAGTCTGTCAGCTAGAGCTATTTCCTGCTTGAGAAGCTGCTTCCCTGAAATATTTTGCGGTTTTATTCCCAGCAAGAGGCAGGGCATAGAGCAGCAGACTTGCACAAACACATTCTTTAGATGTGGATCAACCAGTTCTATGTTGAAAAGACGTGGCATGGTACATCACGAGTTTGGTGTCATATAACAATGAGCTGGACTCGTGAGGGAATACTCTGACCCAGATAGGACTTTCAAGGCTGGGTCATAGCTGCGACCCAAAAATAGAGACCAAGACTGTTCCATCAGTGTCCCTTCTTTCAGAGCTAAAAATGACCACTAGTTCAGTCTTTATTTTTATCGTGTTTCTTCAAATCCTGTTTTTTTCTACACTTTGCAACTCAGAAGCTCATGCTTCATTGTCACAATGAAGCATGTTAGCAAAAAGGTTATGAAAATCAATTAAAAAAATTAAATTACTGCATAGTATCTTTATTTGGCTTTAACTTATGAAATTTTTGCAAGTATTTAGAGTTCATATGATACCCCAAAATAAATAAACTACCGGTAATCATTTTATTACTGTATATATGTAAGCTATGGTTCTTGATGTTGAGTTAAAGAAGTAGGAAAAAAACTGTCAGATGTACTTTCTGGTCAATTTTAAGAGATAAAAATGTGCCTGTTAGGCCTATTTTATTTAATTATTTAAGAAAACAAAGTGTTCATAATTGTGTCCATGTGGGTTGATAATCAGTTTAATGTTGGGACTGTAGACTTGACAGTCTATATATAGTACATCATGATAAAGTAGGGGTGAGCAACTTTTTTTTCCCAGAAGTAAGTAAGTAAGTAAGTAAACTTTATTTATATAGCACTTATCATAGATACAATCACAAAGTGCTGTACAACAATAAAAAATAAAAGCTTAAAATGAAATAAAATAATAACAACTCATTAATAAAAACAGTAAAAACAGCTGAAAAAAAACAGTAAAACATTTAACTAAAAGCTTGACGAAATAAAAATGTCTTAAGCTGCGTTTTAAAAGAATCAACAGAGTCGTTCACACGGAGAGACAGGGGCAGGGCATTCCACAGGCGGGGGG